ACATCAATGACTGCGTCGACGACCTGGGACGCAACGTCCTCATGTTCGCTGAAGATGTTAAGCTGTGGAGAGCCATCAGTCCTGACCTACGCACTTCAAGACAATGTCGACTGCCTGAGCAGTTAGTCAGTTGTTGGATCCCTAATTTTAGTGTGGAAAAATGTGTGAAAAATGTGGAAAAATGTGATCCTGAGACTCCGCACCAGAAGGACCAGTAAGGAGGATGATTCTTTCCAGTACCTCTTTGGCGGTCAGACCCTTTAAAATGTTGTGGAACAGAAAGACCTGGGCGTCCTAATGACCTCCTCGCTGAAACCATCATCACAGTGTCAAAGGGCAGCCAAAGGTGCGATAAGGGTGTTAATTGCCTAGGAATAGAATAGGTTTATTATAGCGCCCCTTGGGCACTGTCAGTCTCCTTGAACACAGAAAAAACATAAAACAACTCATCCATTTCGACCGCACTTTGACTTCATTTGTTTTAAGTCTGTTTAGCCAATAGAGCGCGAATTGAGAGTTTGTTTTAAGTTAAAAAAAACCTGAGTTCCAAGGAGATATAATCATAAAAGTTTTAAGAAAGAACGATATGTACAATATAAAAAATGAAGTGTGCAGTTTGGTAGCTTCTGGGTGGGCTTGAGTAGTATGTACTTCATGGAAATTGAAGAACTTTGATATCGGCCTGACCTTGAAAGCATTTTCAAGTTGGGTAAATTTTGGTGTGTTCTAGTTGGTTGTTGTCATGTAACGTTCCCCTCTAACGCGAGTATAGTAGTCAACGAGGCCCAACAGGATAAGACGGCTTAGTCACTATTTTACTGACAGACCTATGTACAAAAAGAAAGTAAGGGAAGAGTCCTAATTACAAAAATAAACTGAATCTGGGGGGATTGTCCACAGGGGCGACTTGGAGCACTGGGATCCAGCGGAGAAGGCGACAAGGGTTCCTCGTCCGGAGAGCGGCGACCGGCCACGGGGTTGTCGGAGGCTAATCCTCGCCCGTATTTATAGGTTCTCCAGAGCGGAAGTCAACAAGGTTGGGTCCGCCATTGTTGATTGGTTGAGGGTAGGTCGAGGGTGGAAAGTTAAACAAACTTATGCCAGGGCTATCTTGCTTAATTTTAGCGTTATATTAATTTATTATATGCATACTTTTCGTGAGAGGTCAAATTGCGACTAAGTGCCTGGCGTATAAATATGGAATAGTTCGGCGGGCGCGCCCCTTTAGGGGCGCGCATTCTAGAACCTTCTCTAAGATGGCGGCCGCACGTGGTCGGGCATTCTAGAACTTCCTTTATTGCTCCCCCTTGCGAAAAGGGTCTGCTGCCCCCAGCGGAATCACCTAGTGCGATGTCGGGTCCACCATCTGGGGGCACTTCGACAGTCTTCGCTATCGGGTGTCCATCTCTGAATACCTCAGCCGAAGTGTTACCACATTCTGGGGGGGTCTCTAAATACTGTTCGACTAGTTGGTCGTTGTATTCGTGGGACGGGTTGGCCCCCGAGTCTGCACGGTCTGTGTCCTCCTCTGTCGATGGACCTGCCTTTAAGCGATTGAAGTGTACCGTCAACTCTTCCGAATACGGTCTGTCCTGGCTGCGAACGACGCAAGTCGTGTTGGAGTAGACCTTTCTAACTACGTACGGGTCTACCCATGCTGGGTTAAATTTCTGAGGTACACTCGGCAACGGGGGCGAAATTCCGCATCCACACGATATCTCCCTCTTGATAGGGGGTCCCATGTGTTAGGCGATCATAGAATGCCTTCTGACGGCGCTGACCTTACTGGAGGTGCAGTCATGCTTCCTCCGATGCTATGCGCAGAGTTTTCCACATCCTCGAGGTGTAAGTGTCGACGTTCTCAACGGGATGTGTAGGGAGTAGGTGGAGATCCTCGGGGAGTTGCATCTCCCTCCCGCACTTTAGGAAGAACGGTGTGTGTTGAGTAGTGACATTTACCGTGGATGGGTAAGCCAACATGCACGCTGGCAAGGCTTCGTCCCATGTAGGTGATGAGTTCCGGTCGACAAAAGCCCGCAACAGATTGATCAACGTCCGACTCGTCCTTTCCACCTGGCGGTTGCCTTGTGGGTGGTATGCAGTAGTGTGTGTTTTCTTAATTTTCAGAGCCTTACATAATTCGTGTACGACGCTGCTCTCGAACGACGACCCTCGGTCTGAGTGAAGTTGGTCCGGGGTTCCCCAGCGACAGATCCACCCGTTGAAAATGGCTCGGGCTACTGTGGGGGCAGACGCATCTGTTAGGGGTACTGCCTCAGCCATCTTGGTGAAACAGTCTACCATGACGAGGATGAACCTATTTCCCCTCGCGGATGGCGCGATTGGGCCAACTAGGTCTACCGCTATCCTCTCGTTGGGGTAGCCTTTCGGGAGTTGCTGTAGCGGGACTCTGTAGGAGTGTCCGGGTGAATTAAAGCCTAAACAGTGCTTACAAGGCCGGACAACGTTCTGTATGTCGGTATTCTGATTCGGCCAGTGGTACCGCCGACGAAGGGCCCACTCGGTCTTATGGATGCCGGAATGCCCTAGTTCCTCATGCATCCTTTCAACCACGTCATCTACCATCGAAAGCGGTAGGACGACTCGCCTTGGGTATTGTTCATTGTCGCGATAGAAGAGAACGTCATTTTTAATGAACAATTTGTCCCAGAGGCTATGCAGGCATCGCGTCTCATAACTATGACCCGCTAGTTCCGCTTTACTGAGGGGCCTGCCGTTTCTAACTTTTCAATCATATATGGGTCGGATATGCGGGTCATCTCGTTGGGCTGCGGCCCAGAGAAGGCACTGATCGCTTTGTAAAACGATAGCGGAAATGACGATGTCCGTGCATGACGGGCACTCCCCATGGTGGCGATGCGGTTTCCTCGAAAGAACATTCGCGTTACCATGTTGGCGACCGGGTCGGAACACGCACTCAAAGTCGTATTCCGCTAACTGCTCTTGTCAACGAGCGACTTGTCCTTCAGGATTCTTAAAATTTCTTAGCCAGGTCAAGGCACTGTGGTCAGCGCGTACGACGAACGGCCGGTACTGAAGATATAGAATAGAATAGGTTTATTGTAGCGCCCCTTGGGCACTGTCAGTCCCTTTGAACTCCGGCCGGCATTCTTCCACAAAGTGTGTGACGGCCAGCATCTCTTTTCGAGTCACGCAGTAGCGCCGTTCTGCTTTGGTCAACGATCTACTTAAATACTGGATGACACGCTCGGTAACGTCTAACTGTTGTTGCGAGAGAACCGCTCCGATTGCGGTGTCGCTGGCATCGGTATCCAGGAGATACTTTCCGGCATCATTACTAATATCAGGAAAGACTAGAATTGGGGTGGAGCATAATTTATCTTTCAGCTTCTGGAAGCTGTTTGTGCAGTCAGCAGTCCACTTAAACATAACGTTTTTCTGCGTTAGCTTGTGGAGCGGCCCGGCAATTCGGGCGTAGTCCTTAATAAACCGCCTGTAATTAGAGGCGAGGCCTAGGAAGCTACGGACCTCCGTCACGTCTGCAGGGGTGGGCCACTCACGGATTTGTGTGACCTTTTCGTCATCAGTCTCAATTCCTCGGCCGAGACTACATGACCTAAAAACTTCACGCGGGGCTTTGAAGACACATTTGGATGGCTTCAGAGTTAACCCTGCCTGTCGGAGACGGCTAAACACAGCCCTGATATTATCAAGATGGCTATCAAAGTCCTTTCCGAGGACAATTATATCATCCATGTAAACTAAACACGAGGTTGGTATTAACTGTGCAAGGACCTGATTTATCAACCTCTGAAAAGTGCTGGGGGTATTGGCTAGGCCGAAGGGCATCGTCTCGAACTCGTAGAGGCCAGAGCGGACCGCGAATGCAGTCTTTTCCCTATCAGAAGGACGCACTTCAACTTGCCAGTAGTCTGAAGCTTAATCAAGCGTTGAAAACATAATATTGCCAACGAGGGCGTCTAAGGTGGTATCTATCCGTGAAGAGGGAAGGAATCTTTCTTAGTCACAGCGTTTAGCTTCCTATAGTCAATGCACAATCGCATTGAGCTGTCCTTCTTTTTCACAAGTACAATGGGAGATGACCAGGGCGACTGAGAGGGTCTTATGATATTACGACTAAGCATATCCTTGATAAGGGCATCTAGTTCCTTCTGGTAAAATATGGGAAGTCGCCTGGGGGAAACCCTGATGGGTCTCGCATCCCCCAGGTCGATGTAATGCTCCGTCACACCCGTCCTCATTGTGGAATTGCCATCCTAGTCAAAGATATCCTTAAATTTGTATATTAACTGGCTGATCTTCCGGGCGCTACTTTCGTCGAGGTGTGACGGGATTTGGTCCTTAACATCAACACAAACCGCATAAGTGGGTACCTTCCGTGGCTCAGGGAAACTACGAAGAAAAGGCACACTGACCGTGGCGGCCCGTGAAGAACGCTTACCGAAGTCAAGGGAACATCGAAACTAACTCAAAAAGTCAACACCTATTATACAGTCCCAAGTGATATCCGGGGACACGACAAATTGGTGGGTAAAACTAAGACCTCAGAGGTCAAGGGAGAACTCCACAAGGCCAGTATGACTAAGAGGAGTGTCATTTGCAGTATGAAGTTTAAAATTAGGCCTATCACAATACCTTATCCTCGATTGGAACTCTGAAAAGGACTGCTGACGTATCAAAGAATAACCAGCGCCTGAGTCTACAAGGCATGAAAGACTAGTGCTGCCTACAAAATCTTCAACTAAAGGGCAAATAGTAGGACCAACGCATGAAACAGCTGAGTCAGAAACAATGCAGTACTTACCGCTACTGTCCTGTGGGCCGACGTCGATTGACTGGACAGGGCGACGGTTCTGGGGACCTTTGGGGCGACGGGGCGGTTGTCGGTGCCAGTTGCCTTGCCGCGGGTAAAACGATTCGCAGGAACACGGACGCCAAGGAGTTTGGGTGCCGATATGGACCGTGAGACTCGGGCGCACGGAGGTGACTCTGTACAGTTACAAGGGGCGGGCGGAACAAGCGGTCTGCAGCGCCTCTTCTTGCTGGGCAAGTCGAACGGCAGCGTCCAGAGTAGAAGGCTGTTCACGGAGGAGGGCCTTCCGAACCTCTGGATCCGACAAACCGTGGACGAATTGGTTCAGCAGCATCTGATCCAGGTCCGCGGCAGTCATGGTGGGATAGGCCCGGTGCCCGAGGAGACGGAGAGCCTGGTAGAAATCCCATACCCCTTCCGGAGGTTCTTGGGTTTGACGGCGAGATTCGGACCGCTCCAGCCAGGAGGGCGTCGTCCCGCAGAGGATTCCTCGAAGATTCTTTAAGATCTCCGTGCCCGGCATGGAGGATGATACGCCGGCAGCCCGAGCCAGATCGTAGACGTCGTCGTCCAGCTGAGCCAGAATGCCTGAAACATGGCCACTGGCGTCGATACCCAGCAGTTAGTCCTCCAAGCGAGAGGTCCACCGATCGAAATTGCCTGCGAGGCTGAGCTTGGCAGGGGTGGTTCGCTGACGGTTGGGAGAGCCAGTTTCTGCAACTCCTTGACGAGTTTACCGACCAGATTGTCCGACATGCTTAATAGGGTCACCGCTGCCACCAAATTGTAACGTTCCCCTCTAACGCGAGTATAGTAGTCAACGAGGCCCAACAGGATAAGACGGATTAGTCACTATTTTACTGACAGACCTATGTACAAAAAGAAAGTAAGGGAAGAGTCCTAATTACAAAAATAAACTGAATCTGGGGGGATTGTCCACAGGGGCGACTTGGAGCACTGGGATCCAGCGGAGAAGGCGACAAGGGTTCCTCGTCCGGAGAGCGGCGACCGGCCACGGGGTTGTCGGAGGCTAATCCTCGCCCGTATTTATAGGTTCTCCAGAGCGGAAGTCAACAAGGTTGGGTCCGCCATTGTTGATTGGTTGAGGGTAGGTCGAGGGTGGAAAGTTAAACAAACTTATGCCAGGGCTATCTTGCTTAATTTTAGCGTTATATTAATTTATTATATGCATACTTTTCGTGAGAGGTCAAATTGCGACTAAGTGCCTGGCGTATAAATATGGAATAGTTCGGCGGGCGCGCCCCTTTAGGGGCGCGCATTCTAGAACCTTCTCTAAGATGGCGGCCGCACGTGGTCGGGCATTCTAGAACTTCCTACAGTCAGTCTATCTGGCCAGCTCTAAAGGGGGCGGTCGCACAGGTCCTTCGCTGAAGAGAGGATTTGTGCAGATCGATAAAGAGATGTTCGGAAACACCTATGGGGCATTCGTTAGGTTCCACTTAATGTATGCAGTCCAGGCCTGACGACCGCGCCTGAAAAAAGAATTATCAACAACTGGAAAGAGTACAGGTGATGGCTGCAAACGTAGCCAAGAATCTTCATCCTCTGCATTACGAAACCAGGCTGACCGAACAAAATCTGTTTCCTCTCAACTAAAAGCAACAGTGCGGCGATCTCATTCAAACCTACATGATTGTCGGAGTCCGTAAGTGTGCCCTAGATTTTGATGAATTCTTCGATTTGCCCGGGACTAACCGTCTGATTGGCAATCCCTTTTATCTTCAGCGGAAGCTGACACATACGGATGTCTGACGGAACACCCTCTCGCAGGAGTTCAGTGGCGCGTGGACCGGACCCCCTGATGCGGTGGTTCTTCACGAAACCTCTGAATCCTTTAAGTGCAGTCTAGACACCCATTTGCTGTGAAACTACTGTGCATATAATTATTATTATTATTTTATAGGCGGCAGTATGCGCCTGGGTCATGCCGTCAACTTTTGAATTTCTAGATTTGCCGATGTGACAATTCATTCTATTTCTGTTAATCGATATAAATAGGGGAGCTCAAAGACAAAAGCCTCCTTACCTTGATATACTGACTTAAACCAACTGACTCACATGTCCTCATATGGCTGAAAGTAGGTAGAAGGCATTCAAAGACGCTTTACTAGATCTTCGTCCAAATGTGATTTCACCCAGGTTTCATAATTAGAACTGTATCATAAATACGGTCTTCGACCCCTCTGAAACGGAAGACTGCAAAGTGGTCTACACTTCCCATTCAAAGTCACACGTGACTACGATATTCTCGAAATGAAGCTACTAACAAACTGGATCGCTCCCCGGAACACTAGCAAAACCGAAGGTATTATAAGGTTTCCCAATTTTATAAAGTCCTGACGACCAAATATTCACGGCATAAGATATGCGACTGTCTGGTGTGCCTTCCCGAGTTTTATCCGGAAACGCCAAACCCCAATAGAATTGAAAATAAAAACTGAAAAATTCCTTTCGAATAACAATACACACATATTTTTGAATAAGATAGGACATTTTCAAAATCAATTCTTTGATACAGTATTTAGTCCGAAAGGGCTCTGATGTAGCCAGTCACTTCAAAAACGGTTACTTAATCCTAAAAAACAATTAAATTTTAGATGGACAGCATCCTTCAATAAGCATAGAACAATTGGAGATATCCCATTTTCTTCTTTATTGTTTCCATCATCTAACCGACCAAACTCGAATTGTTACTTAAGTAGCTAATACTAACGTACATTTCGATAAAACCCTACATATTATTTGTGCGTAAGGCTATGTTGAGGCCCTATCAGACTTATGTACAATTATATAAGGTTATACTGAACCGTCGAAAAATACCCCTATAATGTCATATTGTCAAGAGCAATATGATACTTGATTCAATATTTTTTTGAAATCATGGTTTGCTACGTACCCATGAATGTTCGCCGCTCTTTCTGTATGTTCATATTTTACAGCTGTTAGTCCAAACAACCATGGGAAGCCTTCTGGAAAACAAGAACGAACGATACAAGCAACTCTTGGCAACTGCATAGACAGACTGACAACCGACAATTAACAGACACCCAATTTTATTCAACTCGAACACAGTTTCAATGTCAGGCCGATGTCGAAATTCTTCAAGTCCCATGAAGGGCGATGCCTTCCTGACCCCAAGTTCCATAAAACTCTAATCTTCAATCTCTGTATTGTATATATTGTACTTCTTTCTAACTGCTATTATTTTGCCTTGGAACTCAGGTTTCTTAAAATAAGACAAAAACTCTGAATTCGCGCTCTACTGACTAAGCAAACGCCAAAAACCAACGAAGTCAAAGAGCATCTGAAATGGATGAATTTAGTTTGGGTTTTTTTCTGTCTTTAAGGGAGACTAACAGTGCCCAAGAGCTGCTATAATAAACCTATTCTATAGTCACATAAATGACCTCTGCGTAGTCGGGAATCTTGTCCGTTCTCTCGCTCACTGTTATGTCGCACTTTGCATGCACGGCAAATCCTCAAACCTGGCGGTTCCTCCTGTCTCTCCTACACAATTGGTATCCTGATAGTGCTACATCACAATTACTGACCTTCTGTGACAGCTACATTTCTGTTATTGCTATAACATGTGGAGATATATCGGCCACCTGTATTGGCTTTTTCCAGAGGTTTGTAAGGCCGCATCTTGAGTAGGTGATCTAGGCAGGGAGATCTTGAGCAAATCAGGATTTCAATCTGTTCGGAAGAGTGCAGAGGCGAACCACAAATCAAGTCAGAAATCAGGGTGCACTGCCATACGAGGTCCGCTAAATAACCTTTATACATATACTGTGACTTATAGGCAGTTGTGCAGAGACTTCATACAAATTTTTGTACCGGTCGTGGCCTGGATGGTCCCCTCCGATGTGAGGACTTTTCCAAATCGCCACTAAAATTAACGTCCGCGGAATCTCTTCAAACTACTTGTCCCCCAGGGGAAATTACGTGTGAGGAAGTATTTTTTCTCCAACCGTTTCGTGAAACTGTACAATAGCATGCCGGAAGCGATTTTAATGTCTTGATCTATGGAGACATTTCAATATTGGCTTAAAAAAACATGCTGCAGCCAAAAGTGTACTATGAAAAGCCGTGATTATGAAAACCAGTGACGTATATGAGTCTTGGCCTACATTCACTGGATGCGAATTTTCTTTTCGCATTTTTTGTAGCGGCTAAGCGGTGATGGTGTACGCTCAGTACGCCACAACTTCAGGCCATATCCCAAGTTGTTAGAACCAGGACGCCATTTCGTTAGGACACTTTATTCTGTACAGAATAGTGAAGGGGAAAGTTGGCAACCGGAAGAGGATGCGTCCGGCGCCGCGGAGGCGGCGTCCGCGAGAGCGACGAACCCTGTGACGCCAAAGGTCGCCGCTTCAAAAGTGTCGTTGCAGATTGCTTACTCTATTGTTCTGGACCGTTCCCGGGTGTCTTACCAATCAGCGATAGGAGTTGCGTTGATTGTCTCCGAGCCCACGCGAAGGTAGTGACAAGCCTCGCGTGGTGCAGGCAGAGGATCGACCGAATGTGTGTAGCAGACAGTGAATTGCAACAAGACAAATCGAAGCCGGGCAGACGTGAGTGCCATAGCAGGCTGTCGCTAGGACGTAGGTGCAGGCGCTAGCGAGAGGCGCGACATATCCATCATGGCTGTCCTCTACATGTTAAATAAATGCATAACATTTTTTATTAAAGAACCATCGAGGTCTCATCAAAGCAAGTAAAATAAATTTTTATATGAATTTTAGAACAGGCAGATAGAATCTGCACAGTATCTGATTCGTGTTAAATGAATAAGCAGTCTGATAAGAAAAATGACGAGAGAGCAGTAAAAAACTCCATTGTAAAATAAACAAAATGACTGAATTACCATTAACGAAAAAATAAACTGTCGTTCATGAAAAGATAAAAATGCGGTCAGGACCGGCCTGAACTCGGAAATTCGCAAACTTTTACTTATGCCGATGACCTCAAGTGTGTTTACTCATACTCAAAGGACACCGCAAATGTTTGTGTTGAAAAAATTAATGCCAATTTAATACGCTTAAGCAGATGGGGTTCGACATGGCAGATGGAGTTTTCATCATCCAAGTGTAGTTTCATGTCTTTCGGTCCTACCAAACTTCCTCGTCCCATAATTTTTCAGAATAACCCACTCTCAGAATGCCTCACCATAAAGGACCTAGGTCTAAGTTATACAAACAAGCCTGCTTTATCACCCCACGCAGATGGAATCTCTGCCAAAGCCGCGCAGATATGTGGATTCATATCGCATAATTTTTTCCTTCCGGAAATGAAGCTAAGACTTTATCAAATGTTTGTTCTTCCAGTCCTCGAATATTGCTGTCCTTTCTTCGGTTTAATGAACGCCTGCGACCGTAATAAAATCGAAAATGTTCAGAGGGTTTTCACCCGGAAACTGTTCTCTCAAGCTTCGTCCAGTATTTCTTATACTCAGAGATGTCAGCTGGCGAACATGAAGTTTTTTTGGGTAAGAAGACTCGAAGCTGGCCTTTGCTTCCTTTTTCGCATCAACTCTAGCTCCAGTCTTCCGCACATTGACACTCTCACTCCGATAGATCGGTCTTATGCCACGCGCAACTCCTGCATGGTGATTCCGCCGCCTCTTTGTACTACATCTAAGCGCACCCTCTTCTTTGCTTCAAAATATGCCTTCCTTTGGAATAATCTTCCGCCTGAAATTAGATTATCGCCTAAGTTACTGGTATTCAAGT